TTATTTTCATAGTGTCAACAAGACAAATATTCACACATGATTCTTTTCATATGTCACAAGACAAATATTCACACATGATTCTTTTCATTTCACAAGACAAATATTCACAAATGATTTATTTCATAAGTCACAAGACAAATATTCACACATGATTCTTTTCAGAAGCCACATGACAAATATTCACACATGATTCTTTTCATATGTCACAAGACAAATATTCACACATGATTCTTTTCATGTCACAAGACAAATATTCACAAATGATTTATTTCATAAGCCACAAGACAAACAATGAAAGGCAGTTCTTTTTACAAGCCACAAGACAAATATTCAACACATGATTCTTTTCATAAGTCACAAGACAAATATTCCCACATGATTCTTTTCATATGTCACAAGACAAATATTCACACATGATACTTTTCATGTCACAAGACAAATATTCACAAATGATTTATTCATAAACCACAAGACAAACAATGAAATGCAGTTCTTTTTACAAGCCACAAGACAAATATTCAACACATGATTTATTTCATAAGTCACAAGACAAATATTCCCACATGATTCTTTTCACAAATCACAAGACAAATATTCAAATGATTCTTTTCATATGTCACAAGACAAATATTCACACATGATTCTTTTCATATGTCACAACACAAATATCCACACATGATTCTTTTCACAAGTCACAAGACAGATATTCACACATGATTCTTTTCAGAAGCCACAAGACAAATATTCACACATGATTCTTTTCATATGTCACAAGACAAATAACCACACATGATTCTTTTCATAATCCACAAAACAAATATTGACACATGATTCTTTTCATGAGTCACAAGACAAATATTCACACATGATTCTTTTCATAAGCCACAAGACAAATAATCAAATGATTCCTTTCATATGTCACAAGACAAATATTCACAAATGATTATTTTCATTTGTTACAAGACAAATATTAACACATGATTCTTCTCAGAAGCCACAAGACAAATATTCACATATGATTCTTTCATATTTCACAAGATTTGTCTTGTGATTTGTGAACTTTACTAAGTTAGCACCACTGTGGTGGAAGACCTGTTGCTCTAGTTTTAGCTTTGTCACACTTTACAAAGTTGGTATCATCTGTCATTGTTTGTCTCGTGACTTGTAAACAGAATCATATGACAGTGTTTGTCATGGAACTTGTGAACAAAATGATGTCAAGCTTTGTCTTGTGACTTATGAAAAGAATCATGTGTTGAATATTTATCTTGTGGCTTACGAAAGGAATCATTTGTGAATATTTATCTTGTGGCTTATGAAAAAATTCATGTGTGAATATTTGTCTTGGGGAATCTGAAAAAAATCATGTGTGAATATTTGAATGTGAAATATGAAAAGAATCATGTGTGAATATTTGCCTTGTGACATGAAAAGAATCATGTGTGAATATTTCTCTTGTGACATGAAAAGAATCATGTGTGAATATTTATCTTGTAACATATGAAAAGAATCATGTGTGAACATTTGTTGTGAAGAGAATCACGTGTCAGTGTTTGTCGTGTGGCTTGTGAACAGATTCGTGTTAATAGACAAACACTGACACGTGATTCTGTTCACAAGACAATGACATGTGATTCTGTTCACAAGTTATAAGACAAACAATGACACGCGATTCTGTTTACAAGTCACAAGATAAATACTGACATATGATTTGTTCATAAGTCACAAGACAAACACTGACATATGATTCCGTTTACAAGTCACATGATAGATAATGATATTCTGTTTACAATTCACAAGACAAATATTGATATGATTCTTTTGACAAGTCACAAGATAGATAATGGTATATGATTCTGTTTAAAAGTCATAGGACAAAGAATGACACATGATTCTGTTTAAAAGTCTCAAGACAAAGAATGACATATGATTATCTACACAATTCACAAGACAGAATGAAATATGGTTCTTTACACAATTCACAAGACAAATATTTACATATGGTTCTTTTCATAAGTCACAAGACAAATTTTGACATATAATTCTGTTTACAAGTCATAAGATAAATATTGACTTACGACTTTGTTCACAAGTGATAAAACAAGCACTGACATATGATTATTTTTCTAAAAATTGAAAGGTATGGAAATCAAAGTCATGAGTCGATTAAATGGAGAACAAAAAGCTTGTCCGCGAGACATGTACATGACTAAAACACTGAAAACCTATATATTCATAAAAGAAATATCAGGCTTACAGAGTTCCTGTTTAGCACCACTTCTCTATAGTATGTTTTGAAGGACAATTCGTTATTTCTTTGAATCTTGAAAAATGAACGGGTCTATTATCACTACATCGATACCGTGATCTTAGATTAAAGAAGTAAGTTCACGAAACTAAAGGAAGTGTAACCAGTACGATGTTACGTTAAGTCTGTTGAATTATTTAAAGTAACATGTCCTGAGCCGATTATGAGAGTAATAGAAGTTTCTGCTCGAGGTCTAAATGGAGTACCGTATGTGGTGTACAAGAAGCGTAGTGGATTTTTGAACTTTCTCTGGAAGTTGCTAAAAGTTGTTTGGAGGAAGGATGAGGTTCCATCTTCATGGAATAAGGCTGAAGGAGTGTACATTCCTAAGGAAAAATGTTTGTTTGTTTGGAGTTAAGCACAAAGCTATACATTGGGCTATCTGTGCTCTGCCCACCACGAGTATCGAAACCCGGTTTCTAACATTGTATATCCGCAGACATACCGCTGTGCAAATTAATAACAGTGATGTAGTTTGTGGATTACACAAAATTATTTTATCAAACTGTTTACTTTTTTATGACTTAACATATAACACTGGAAGAAGGTTCAAGCAGCATTGGGCAGTTTCGACCAATTTCGCTGCTGATTGTGGAAGACAAGATTATGTTTAGGATGACAGCATAAAGAATGCCACCCTTTCTTCTAGGGAATGACGTAATTGATATTTCTATTCAGAAGACATGGATACCAGGCTTTCCAAGGTATCTGGAGCATACAATCATGATATGGCATACCATTCAGGAAGCAATGAAGCAGCGAAGATATCAGAGTGTGGTTTGATCTTGCCAATGTTTATGGGATACTACATACGGTTCAGATACGGTTCTCACCCCGATAGTATACAACCAGCTAGGTGAACCTTGAAGTTATTATTCCATTGG